ACACACACACACACACACACACACACACACACACACACACACACACACACACACACACACACACACACACACACACAAATAAAAAAAGACACTAAATACCACACTAACGCTCGGTGCAATAAAGCTTCATGCTTAGACAACAGATTTCAGAATTATCTAGTCTTTGCTGTGCTCATGGGATCCAGCTGAACACAAGCACTCACCACCAACCACAGGCTGAACATGTGGGAGTACAGTGGGCTTTTTATTGTTCCTCAGGCAACAGAGAGGGAACTCGCATTAGTTTAAAATGTCAATATACAGCTGTTAGTTATAAGCAAACTAACAGGACACACACACACACACACACACACACACACACACACACACACACACACACACACAAAGTGCAGAGCAAGGCTTACCTCTGTTCATGCTGACTCCAGCCCACACACAATTTAGATTTTGACATTTCTCTCAGACGCACTCTCAGGACTGTGTTCCAAGATGCTGCATCTGAACAGTCATGCAGATGTTCAGTCTCATTATTGTGTCAACTCAAACAATTTTATACATTTCTCATATTTAAAATGTACACATAAACATGTTTTCTGCCCTCACTGATTTGATGAAGTGACATATATAAACTTAGCATTGTTTGATAGATTTTTTATGGTAACAATGCTTCTTGGAAATAAATCTTATATTGTTGGAAAGCCTGTTCATGTCCCTTTTAAATGATGCCACATTTGTAAGGAACATGCATTGGTGGGATGAGCAGTATCATTGAGTATTAGGGTTTTGAGCATGAAAAATGTACCAAATCTTCTCTAACAGACAGCTTATTTTGCTGTCAGGAGAAAATAAAGACTAAAGAAAGAAGAACTTTTATCATTTCACAACATCATCGCTGCTCCAAACAACCTGTGTGGCTTGTTGGCCAGCCTGCATCTTTGTCCTCCATAACCAACTGTTATGAAGGTTTAACATTTCATCACTATTTCCATCACCGGCTCATTGTTGAGTTAATAAATGTGCAACATAAACATAAAGATATTCTCATTATGAGTAATTCTGGGGATGTTCTGCTTCACATTTATTTTGTAAGAAATTTACCAAAATTAACAAGCTAGGTCTTTCTGTCTCCTCCCTTTTGCCATCATGACATCTTCACTTTGTGTTACAAGGGTTCTTCAGATCATCAAACCAAATAAAGATTAAGAAGAGTGTCGAGACAAGATCCTTTAGCTTCTTTTTATGTCCAGTCTTCTTGTTTTTTTTACAACTGATGGTTTACAGATGTTTGTTTTCACTGTTGTAAATAATTTGTGCATATAAGTATTAATTATCAACTTATTATTAAATACATTTTCAGCGATGGCTCCAGTGAAACCTACTTTCACAAATTAGACCTGCACAGGCCATTGATCATTTATAATTGGCTTTTAGTTCCAGTTAAGCAAACTATTGTGTTTTTGTTGTGCCTTTCTAATTATTTATTGCAAATGTAATAGTTATTAATTTAATATCAATCTCTTTGCACAAAACCTTGGTTAAATATGATTTGTCCTCAGTGTAAAGGTTGCAGAATCAAATCCCGGTTTAGTGTGTAGACGTGGGCTTGCTCTGGCTTCCTCCCACAGATCAAAAACATGTACGTTAGGTGAACTGTTAACTTTAAAGTGTTTCTAGCCGTGTTGTCTCATTTGTCTCTGCATGTCCCTGTGATGGACTTATGACCTGTCCAGGGTGTCCCCCATAGTGACCGCTAATGATAGACAGCAGCTTGACCTTGAAAGGTAAAGGGGGTAAAAAAATGAATGGATGGATGGACAGACGTGCACTCTGTTTCAGGTAAAACACTCGCTGCTCAAAGAAAGACACATTCCTTTTAAATGAACAGTTGGCATTTATGGAGCTAATACAAAACCACTGTGATACAGATTTTTTTTTAAAGAAACCATATCCATACAAAACCACATAAATAGAAATACAGAATTACGAACAGTACAAATATCTTGGTCCCTTTCCAGTGTCAGAGTTGAGGCAGACGGTGGCAGAAAACAAACTGCCTCAATCCACAGCTGGGATGGAGCTCTTTGACAGGCTGGAGATTTAACCCAACTCAGATTTATCTACTTTTTATTTATTTTACAATCAACACTTCCTCTGTTTTACAATACCTTAACTGGTTTAGTAGTGAAATCTGTCAGCATTAAACATACAGGAATGTTTGATCAGAACATAAAATCTTTGGGCTTCTGAAGCTGCTGGTAGATCTAAAAGGACTCTTTAGACCCACCAGCTGCTTCTTCAGGTGTGAGTGTGTTCATGTTTGTTTCTGTTTGAAGCCCTCTGATGGACTGATGTGTCCTAGGTGTACCCCGCCTCTCGCCTGATGACTGGAGACTGGAACCAGCTGCCTGTGACCCTGAACCAAATCAAGCGGGCACAGGAAGTTCCAAATGGACGTTTGGAGGACTTCAAATGGCTAAAGATAAAAAAAAAATCTAGATCTGTTCACTGGAAGTTTAAATGTTTGCAGTTGTTTAAAAAAACAACAACCCTGAACGTTTAGTTGAGATTTCAACCTTCAATGCTAAAAATATGAGAAAGTTTGGAGTTTTTAATTCTTCTGAAGTGCAGGTTTAGGCCATCACAGTCCCATCTTTTAGAGCCAGCGGCACAAAGCGACAACACACACAGACATTTATCTCTGCAACAGTCAAGAAGCTCAATAACATTTCTGCTCCTCAGGGTTCCATATGAACCACTATTTGAGTCACTGGTCAGTTTGAAACTTGCTCCTGTTGCACATGTTGTCTATCAATAAAAAGAAAGACAACGTTGCTTGGCTGCAGAGTGACTGCTCATCTAATAATAATTATTGTGTTACATGTGGCCAAAAGGGTTAAATTAGATGATGATGCACGCAGAGCTGTGAGCCTTTACAGTTTTTCCACTTTTGGTCATCTGGTTCTTCTCAAACAGGGAAATGTAGAATCTAAAGTGATGGAACCAGACATTTTGAGACATATTTCTCTTCACAAAGACCTGCAAAGATTTTACTAATTGAAGGTTTTGGCCATTTAACATGGTCTAAACTCGACTTTCATGTGATTATTGTTACGGTCAAGCAGCTCCAGTTTCGCAGCATGCCTGATACTTTTTTATAATTTGTTCCAACATTTATTTAGACAACTGCAAATGCCGTGGACCTTTACTTGTTCTTATTATTGCGTCCTCCTGGAAACGTGCTTAATCTTAGCCCAACAGTTCCTCTGCAAAGACAGGAAGGCGTACTGCTACTGGGCAATAACTGAGGTTAAAAGAGATGACACAGGTGGCGTGGCTGGGGATCCTTCAAATTTATCTTTGCACACATCAGAAAGAACAATCAGTCAACTGTTTGCATTCCTGAAGGACTTTGTTTTGCATAAACTGTTCATTAAAAAAACAATTAAATCACAGTCAAATGCTGTACGATGGCAGTATCAGCAACGAAGTTTGTAGAGTTTATGATTTAAAAGCTCTGAACAGGTTTCTGGCTAACAGGTGTTTGTGTAGCAAAGGTGAATTTTGAACACATCAAAAAAAAAAAGATCAGAAAATAGAAAACAAAGAGGCAACACATTCAATTTTAAAATGATGAATGGTGTATTATACAAATAAACACTTCAAATGCCAGAGAGACACGGGAAAAAACTTCTTCTGTTCTCTGACAGATGTGTAAAATATTAATACTGCTCACTTAAAGGAAGGACTTAGACATATTTACTTACAGTAGCGTTGTTTAGATAAGAACGCTACAATGTTTGTGCATATGAGGTATAAAAGGAAAACAATGAAACACGTTGGCCTCTGATAAAATGAATATGTTAAAATCCACAAAAAGACTGAAAAACAGTTTTTTTTTCACTGAAGCACACTGTCTAGACCTTCTGCCACACTCCAGCTGGGTTTGATCTGTAAACCCGCCAAAGCACGTTTGACTTCCTGTTAACTCTGGAGCAAAGTCCTGGAGCAGTGCTGCCTCCAGCAAAACATTGAAATTTCTGGAAATTAGAAGCCTTCTGGCCAGAGTTTACAAAACCTCTGCGACGGCGGGATGTCCAACATGTTTTCTATGTGCACGTGTGTCATGGTATCTGCAGCTGCAGGTCCTCATCCTCCTCGTCAATGTCACTGTTTGGGCCATCTGTGTTTTCGGGATTGAAACGAGTGGATCGCATCTTTCCAAAGAGACCGGGACTCTGCTGCTGTCGCCGCAGCCTGAGGCAGAAACAGAAAAAGAGAAATAAGTGGATGGGCACTGCAGACGATGCTTTTCTCCCGTTCGCCGAATCAGCCAATTTACCAAATGCATTTTACAGATACTGTGCTGCAATTTGGCGTGGTAGTAGCTGAGAGTCATCCCCCAACACACACCTGAACAACACTCCAACTGTTTGAGTCTGCACAGTTTGAACAGTCAGAACTCCCTGCTCGTAGCATCATTGCAGTGATACACAAGACACACACCGAGCAGACACACACACACACACACACACACACACACACACACACACACACACACACACACACACACACACACACACACACACAAATAAAAAAAGACACTAAATACCACACTAACGCTCGGTGCAATAAAGCTTCATGCTTAGACAACAGATTTCAGAATTATCTAGTCTTTGCTGTGCTCATGGGATCCAGCTGAACACAAGCACTCACCACCAACCACAGGCTGAACATGTGGGAGTACAGTGGGCTTTTTATTGTTCCTCAGGCAACAGAGAGGGAACTCGCATTAGTTTAAAATGTCAATATACAGCTGTTAGTTATAAGCAAACTAACAGGACACACACACACACACACACACACACACACACACACACACACACACACACACACAAAGTGCAGAGCAAGGCTTACCTCTGTTCATGCTGACTCCAGCCCACACACAATTTAGATTTTGACATTTCTCTCAGACGCACTCTCAGGACTGTGTTCCAAGATGCTGCATCTGAACAGTCATGCAGATGTTCAGTCTCATTATTGTGTCAACTCAAACAATTTTATACATTTCTCATATTTAAAATGTACACATAAACATGTTTTCTGCCCTCACTGATTTGATGAAGTGACATATATAAACTTAGCATTGTTTGATAGATTTTTTATGGTAACAATGCTTCTTGGAAATAAATCTTATATTGTTGGAAAGCCTGTTCATGTCCCTTTTAAATGATGCCACATTTGTAAGGAACATGCATT